GTTGGCCACTCGGCCTGCTGGTATGTCCCATGCTTATGCTTTTTAACCTTTTCAGTGGGTCAAATACTAATGCATCAACAGAAACAATTTTAGCTTCACGAGGAAACGTGTAAACAAACTCCATAATGATTCAAATGAAGAACATATATATTTTTCTTTTTAATTTGGGGAAGAGGAATTTGAATCTTAATCTTTGAGACAGGAAATTATGCAGCAACGAGTAAGTTAATTGCTCAGTTGCCATATGAAGAACATGTATGAATCTAGATTTCTTCTCTCTTCTAAGGTTTTTAAAGCAATTTTTGGTAGCATTTGGGTGAATGACAAGGTCGGCAGGTTTCCATTAATAAGCATATAATTGATCATCCTGGTCAGAGTCAAAACTCTTGGGTCCTTCTCACTTATGTCAGACTCTAGCAGGTAGTGTGAGCTATCAAACATGGAGCTGATTAATAATAGCAGCAGCTGCATCATCTGAAAGCTAGAGGGTGAAATGTTGTAACAGCTAAGCTTTGCATGAAACTAGACTATGGTTAATCATGAATTTAAGAGAAAATAATTAATGGTCCCCCACTCTTTGCACGGTTTAGCCACATTGGCCTTAATGCTTCCGGCCTTGGAGTCTATCCCGGATCAATTGTATTTCCCCAAAAACCACCAAAAAAGTTTATGGTCCCCATGACCCAAAGGCAACTCTATCAGATGGGCCTTTGAAGAAAGTACTAAATTCTTGTCTGTTGACCTTTTCCTCTTGTAATTAACAGCAGTAATTAAGCTTTCATAATAAAACGGTACTGCTCTATTCACACATGCCCCACTTTGCTTTGATTGCAAGGCATAAATTTTAGCAGTTTTTATTTTTTGTCAAAAGAAATTACGTGAGAGAAGATGGTTAATTGGTTCATTTGTAGTTTATGATATATGCATTTTTTTAATATATCCAAAAATTTAGTCTTTAATAAAATTATTTAAATACTTATTAATTAATTTTTTTTTTATTTTCACACTCGATTCTAAAAATTTATTTCCGAAAACTTTAGATTTTTAGAAATTCTTAAAAGCCTTTTAATATATATTTACGAAAATCTTTAAAAACTTTCAAAAATCAATTTTTAGAAGTTTCAAATTATATTTAAATATTTTAATATGAAATCTTATGAAGCTAAATACGAAATCAAATAAAAAAATAAAAAGAATAATCACTTTTGCCTTTAATTTTATATTTTTTAATTTTAAATTGATCAAAAAAATTTTCAAATTTAACTTGATTGGGGCTTAAAATCTTTTATATTTTCGATTGAGAAAAGAGAAGACATGGGATGTGAGAAAAGGGGATGTTTGGTGTTTTGGTAAATTTATATTTAAATTTTGAGTGTGTTAAGTAAAAAATTGAATGTTAATTATAATGGAATGTGAAGAAAGAAAATTGAGGTACAAATAACACCACTCTTTTATAAATTATTTAATAAAAAAATTACTATTAACAACAATCGAATCAAAACTTTAAACATAAAATATAATCCCATCACTTTTAACATAAAATTTTAATGCGATGGTAAGGTTTTTTAAGTTCTTAAAGAAACTTCTCTTAACATTGTACCAACTCCATTAAATAGCACAGTGATAAGTAATTGTATAAAGACTTCCTTTATGTCCACTACCTCTTTCTAAGATTTAAATTGAATATACAGTGAATATATCATTAGACCTATACTATGTTTAGATTGAGGGGAAGGAAAGGAAAGGAAAATAAAATAAAGGAAAGTAATGGAAACAGAATAACTTTTTTTTTATTTGGATAAATTTTTAATTTAAAGAAAAAAAAAGAGGTGAATACTTAATAATTTTTTATTTTCCTTGTAATTTTTATTTTTTTAATATCTCAATTTGGGGAAAAAATTAAAAAAAAAAGTTGAAAAAATTTTATTTTTATGAAAAGATTATTACATTCATATTTTTATTATAACATTAGATTTGATTATATAACTGACACTTTCTACAAAGATAATTTTCGTTTATAAGTATTTTATATAACATGATAATTTATAAATATTTTATGATTTTTAAAGTCTTAATAACAAAACAAGCTAAATTATTATCAGAATAAATTAAAAGACTGAATTAAATATAAAATTATGAGTAAATCAATAATTAACTAATATATCTTATCGTATTAAACATGTTCAATTTTGCTAAAAATGATTTGTTTATACAAATTAGGTAGTATAAAGATATATTTATATATATTATACGTTACTTTATTAAAAAAATTGTTATAATTGAAAAAAATATATTATGATGAATTATTTCCTTTCTTTTTCACTATTTGTCCAAATAATGATTGTTAGAATTCTTTTTTTTTATTAATTTTAATTATCAAAGCAATGGAATACATGTATCATTTCCTTTCATTTAAATTTTTTTTTCTTTATTAATATCTATCCAAACATAGCATAAAATAAAATAACAGATACTTTCACTACATTTTAAGAAATGAAAAATGATCTTTACTCAATTTGAATAATTAAATTAATAATGATTCTTAAACTTTTAATAAAAAGAAAAACATGCGTGTAATACCTAATTATCAATTTCGCTAATTCTACGACTTAGAAAAGCAAAAAGAAAGAAGAGTTTTCATGGTAATGCTGATATTTTTAGTGTGATATTGATGCATTGCTAAGTTAGTAAATCAATGCATACTTGCTGTTTTTAATTGTTTGTGGGAAAAAAAGAAATTTAAAATGAATTGATTGAATCAAGTGACCACAATCATGGACCCAAAAAGTCACAGCAAGAATCAATAATTAACCCTAATTTTGTTTGTTCATCGCATGTTAATTATATCAAGGTGTTAAGCTTTAAACATTATTGTCTCCCTCTATTATAGAACAGAGGAGCATAAAGTACAGAATGGCAGGATAATGTGGTAGGAACCAATAATCAAGAGAAAGATTTACCATTGTGTTAATTATTAGCTGTCTGGAATTAATTAGAGATGTGCAAATCTGGGAAGAAGCTTTTCAGGATATCAACCACTTGAATTATTTTTTGATGACAAAAATACCCTTACACCGATGGGAAAAATAACAAGATATTTCAAAAGGGTCAAGTTAATTACAAGTGGTACATTGGTCAATAGACAAAAATATATGTATTTGATGCAGTTGTCACATGGCTAGAAATTACACTCATGTGATCACATGCTTTCAGCCTCCTTCCATGTTATAATTATCTGTAAGCAGAAGAGTCAAACAAACAAAGCTTTATCTCCCTTTGACTAATCCAAATAATTAATTAAGTCCCACCATTACTAAGGCTTAAAAGGTTAGCAGATAATCTATTTTAAAAGTTTTTTTGCCATCAAATTTTTTCATGTTAGCTACTCTTCCTTTTCCTCTAAAGCTAATACCTACCATCATGACAAAATCTTTAAGTGATTGAAAATTTAACTTTGTCTTTTTAATTCTAATCAATTTATCACCATGTGTTTTTCAAAAGAACGACAGACAAGGAGAGGAAAGAAGAGGTCTAAGTCTTGATTCGATTTCTCTATCATTTTAATATTGTTGTTTTAGTTCTTATACTCCAATTTTAATGAATTTAGTCTGTGTATTTTTATTAAAAATTTATTTAAAAATTATTGATAATAGTTTTAAGATTTCAATTTAATTTGGGGAACATGACATTTTGGTGATTATGTAGTGGATTTGTTTTAATTGATAAAGTTTTGAAAATGATTGTTTTGCAGGAAGATTTGAGTTTTAATTGATAAAGTTCATTCAATGGGATTTAGTTTCTGAAGTTTAACACCATTGCTAATTATCCTATATGGATTTTATTTTTATATGAATATAAAGATTAAATTCATTAAAATTTTGATTAAAAAGACAAAGATCACATCACCAAATTCAAACCTTGACAAAAAAAAAAAAAAAACAAAAAAAAAACAAAAAGAAAACTACAACTTCATAAAAATATTTTCTTCTTTCTAATTAAAATAGAAGATTATAGGGTAAAAATATGGTTATTGGAGTTTTTCTATATAAAAACTTTTTTATTTAAATTTGATAATGAAAAAAGTTAAAAGTGTTTATAGGCACCGATTAAGTTGATATTGGCCAAAAAAGGTTGATATTTGTATAAAAAAATTTATGACTAACGTATTATTTATTATTTAATTTAATAAGCTAAACAAAAAATATTTTTTAAAATATAATTTTAATTAATCTTAGTAAGTGCCAACAAATACATCCGTTTTTTTCATCACTTCTTTCCAAATTTATGGGAGAAGCAAGAAAACTTCAAGCCTAAATGGTAACTAACTATAAATATTTGTTTAATATTATTATCATATTTTCCAATCATCAATAAGATGCCAGCTCTTTAGAGAGGAATGGTGTAGGAAATTTCTTTAACTCTTACTTTTCTCGAAGAAAAAAAAAAACAGATGCCTTAAAATTTGCAATTAAAACCCAAAAGAAAAAAAAAAATCGTTTTTGTCCTTTATATTAGTTCATCTAGTGTGTCCATGTGCTGTTTTCAATATACTAAACACCACTTTAGCTAACTTGTTTCGGCTTCACCAGACCACATTAGTTTTTATAATATCACCGTCCACTCCAATTACTATCAAATAAAGAATAACAAAACTCACTGACAAAAATAATAAATAAATCAATTTTAATTTTAAATTTAATTAATTTATGCATCCACTTTAAAATCTGACATCTAATAAATATTAAATTTAAATCATAACATCTGTAACTTTTTTTTAATTCTCAGTTTAGGATTTTTTTATGTAAAATAATAATAATAATAATAATAATAATAATAATAATAAAAAATCAAATAAAAAGTTTACAGCAATGAAACTATTCAAACACATCTGCACCCTTTATAAATCACAAATCCCATGCATATCTCATCAGACAGAAACACAACTCACAGGCCAAACTCCAAAACAATATTTTCCACTTTTTGTACCCTGATCGTAAAGAATGGCCCTGGAAGCTGTTCAGTCTACTTCTAGAAAAACTATTGAGCCAACTTCAAGTCCCAGGATTTCTTTCTCTGCTGATTTCCTTGATGAAAACACCTTCATTTCCATCAACCCGCATTCTCAAAATGAAGAGGAAGAGGCAGAGAAGGATCAGAAGGAGATCAAGGAGAAAGACAAGGCAAGAGTTGCAGAATTTGAGTTCCTTTCAAGCAATGTGAGCAGCCATGCCATGTTGACTGCGGATGAGCTTTTCTTTGAAGGAAAGCTGCTTCCCTGTTGGCAAATGCAACATTCCGAGAAGCTCAAAAAAATTAATCTTAAAACAAAAGATGCAGAACAAGAAGAAGAAGAAGAAGAAGAAATAGCTAACAAGGAGGAGAGTAGGGTAAGTTGGTTTGTCGATGATGACCCATCTCCAAGGCCACCAAAATGTACTGTATTGTGGAAAGAGTTGCTGAGGTTGAAGAAGCAACGCGCTTCTTCTTTATCGCCATCATCTTCTTCCTCTTCAACGTCATCTTCTTCAAGCTCGCTGGCTGACATAGCTACAGCAGATGAAGGAAAAGAAGGGTCTGGGGATAGAGATAAGCATGTGAAGAGGATAAAAAAAGGGTTGGAAAGAACAAGATCAGCAAGCATTAGAATAAGGCCAATGATAAATGTGCCTATTTGCACACAAGTGAAAAGCAGTGCATTGCCTCCTCTGTTTCCCCTTAAGAAAGGAAGATTAGAGAGGTGAAGGTAACAGGCATAGTTGAGTTTGATCTGAAATTTAGGCTTGTTCAAAATGTTCATTTGTTTTTAATTTCATTTTCAATTTTTAAACCTTTTTTTTTTTCTGTTCTTTTATGTTTAGATAAATCTTGAATATGATGGATCGAAGTCAGATGCATTGCGATGTAAATAAATGTTGACTGGCATTTGTCGGTTTTCTACATTTTTTTTACCGGCTAGACTTTCATTTCGTCAGGCTCTAATCGATTAGTGGCTAGAAACTGAGCAGTGATAGCACATGGAAGGATGCAGAGTTTTATGAAATTTCAGGGTCCCACTCTCGGAAGATCAACCGATGGTGTCTGATCAACGATCTAACAGCAATAAATCTCGTATTATTTTTGTAAAAGCAGAAAGATCTGGAAAAGCAAAATGGTTATGAGTCCCCTTTTATGTATTCGAAAGTTGTTTTGTTTCAGTGCTTCTTAGCCTACGGCAGCAAAGTTTCCATCATAATTTCAAAGAAAATCAAAATACCGTCACTTTGTTTTGATGCCATTCACAATGAAAAAAGATGGGTTTCAGAAGCACAAAAGTATTTTGTTATAAGCAACCTTTACTATCCATGCTGATTGGTGCAGAGACTCGTCTTACCAACAACAATAGATCTTTGTCCTTTAATGGTAATTCGGTGTTCGTTCAGTCCCTTTTTGCCCATTTATCTTTTGAACCAGTAAAGTGGTATTATTTCGATTTGGGAGTAAAGCCAAAACAAATTTAACCAGATCGATGTAGCAATTCTTGTAATCATATCATGTTCATGTAATCATATCATGTAAAAAGTCACGTATTTAATTTTATTAAAATTTTAAATGGTATCACTTTTATATATTTTTTTTATATTGTATCACTACATCGTTCATTCAATTACCAAGACTACATCCACATGCTGTTATAAAAACATTCACAACCATATATTCATGGTAAAGTAAACAAATACATAACCATACGAAAATTCATAAAAATAGAATGGAATAAACAGTTAGTGAGGTATGATTTACAGACATGATTTAGAATTCAAGTAAATAAAGAATCGGACTGAATATGGACAACTATTTCTAATCCAGAACTGTGGATGCTCCAACTTGCACTTTGGAGCTTGTATATTACTAACAAGAGGAGGCCAGACATGAGAACTTTAGAGTCAAAAGAGAAAACAATGGTGAAACTTCCAGCAAAACTTTAAAACCAACATGTTACCAATTTGATATGCAATAAATATAGACACAGAAATGGGTGATATCGAGTCTTTTGACCATTCCAGTCGTGTGAAGTTACCTCTGAACGCATGTACAATCTACTTAAGAAGGTTGTGAGGGCAAAAATGATTTCCAGAATTCGTAAAATAAATTGAATGCGTAGCTTAAGCTGGCAGTCTATAATTTCAAAAAATTTAAAGCTGGAATACATGACTCGTGCAAATTTATATTTAAAAGTCCAGCCCGGGTCTTCCAACGAGATTATCATGTATGCGCCCAGTCAGATTGTTGTTTTGCAAGAATCTAGGAGAAACGAAGAACTAAGTCAGGTACAGAGAATCAAATCATGCTTTCGTATCGTCTAACCAGTAAAACAATCTAGATGGAGAGATACCTATGTGTTGCCATTGATGGCATTTTCATTGTATTAATGAAAACCAGACAGGACATTTTTATGAAAGCGAAGAATGGTGTGTTTATAATGTTTAAGCCACCAGCTAGTGGAGACCAAGACATGTTTCAGCTTTCTATTTTCCATGGTTATATTGAGAAGGGTTAATGTCCTCTATATTATAGTGAAATATTTAATATGATACTTAAATTTTAAAAATATATAATATGATACTTGAACTATGAATCTGTTAACTAATGTAATACTTAAAGAATTATTTGTATGCCATGCGTCATCATTTGAAGCTAATCACGTTAGGGATAAGTACCACATTAACTAATAGATTTATAGTTTATAGGTATAACATTAAAAATTTTTAAAATTTAGGTACTACATTCAATATTTCACTATAATTTAAGGACAATTAATGATATTAACCCTATTGAGAATTGAACACGAATCTGCAAAGATCAAATAAGTTTACCAGACTGCCATAGTTCAATGAAATGGTTTTAAAATCTCAAGTTCAGAAAAAAAGAGGTAAAGTGTAAATTTGGAACCACTACTAACCAGCAACAATTTTGGTAAAACAATGGAAACCTGAGTGAATAAATTTAAAGAAAAAAGGCAATATAGATCTAAATTTCATACTGGGTACAGCCACATATGTTAAGCAAAGAAATGAAGGACCACAAACTATATGAAATAATAGTTGTTCCCTCCTATATATAGGACGGATCACATGTCAATCCTACAGAACTCATGCAAGTTATGGCTTTACGAACCAGGATATCTTTCAGTTCATGTCATTGTCCATTCAATATACGTAAGACACCATGTGCAATAGACCAAGTAAATGGGTCCACTAACAATAAGCTCAGAGTCAGGTACATGGGAAAGGACGATAAGATGCAAACGATTAAGTCCAAAAATTCCTACCACATTCATCTTCCACCATTTTACAATGCAACCTAAATTACACTGGGCAAGACAGAATCAACATGATAAAATTACATCATTGACACATCTAGTCCCAAGCAAATACAAACAACATTTCTTTAATCCAAATTTCTAAGAACAGTTGAATCTAACAGTTTAGCCAATATCCTCAAGAGGAGTGCCTCCTCCTTCACTGATTACATTTTGGTACTAGCATCCAACTATGATAAGGTGCGGGGACCAGAAGCAATCCACAAATAATTGCCTCAAGAATCCCATGTATCGAGCACTTAACTGCTACGATGCTATCATTTTTTTAATAGCATCATTCTAGGCACTCTCCTTACAATTAGCAAGCCTTAGGCTTTGTTTGGTAGAGAAGATAGAAAAGACTAAGGAGGGAAAACTTGTTTATCCAATGGTTAAAATTCATAACTGCTTTCATATTTTGTAGCTTAACCATTAGATTAATAAGTTTTCCATCCATAGCCCTTTCCATCCTCTCTACCAAGCAAAGCCTTAGAGCAGTTCATCAGGCAACTATATTTTTGGACCAAGGAAGAGAAAAAAGAAAGAAAACATTTCCTAAAACTTTGCAATATTTGGAGGTATTCTTTTAACAACAAAATAAAGTACAAGATTTTAAGGTAAAATTTTTCTTGGATTTCAATGGTAGTTAGTTTAATTCAAAGGAACGATCTGCTTGCTTTGAAGACAACCAGAAATTTAATTGGGTATTGGCTAATGGCTTAAGGATAGCAACAAGTTTTTATTATGTGACAATGTCTAAAAGTAGAAACTTACTGATCTTTTAGCTCTTAGCAAAGGTCAATGTAAACCTAACGATTTAATGTAACCAGACTAAGGCTGGGACATGTTGGCTTCCCAACATAGATGTTTTAAAATATGCATTTTATATGATTGGTTTAGCAGAAGCACCAAGAACCAGTGCTTGACACGTTGGAAGTATAGTGCTGTAATTTTATCACTTCTTGTACTCTTCACGTCAGATATCAAACTTAAGTCTTATATGAACCCAGTTGTACACATTAAACTTGACAAATTACCTATTCACTTGAATATTAATGTAACTAGCCTGTACCTCGACGAGAAATTCAAACTTTAATTAAAATAGCAAACTAGTCGTGATTCTTTTCTTTCTTTTTACTAACAAATGGGACACATATGCCAATTTAACTCTCCTCGTTTTAAACAAATTCTGATCTTATTCTGCTGATTAAGTCAACCAATATTGATGGGATATAGTTCTTCATATGCTGGAGCACTCCATTGCAGGTAATATTTGTTATGACTTTTACAGGGAAAAAGTGACATGTATGGATTTAAATTAGGGCAAGGCCAGATATCTATAAGACTGCAGCAGAGATTAAGTAGACAGCAATAATTATCCACACATAAACCTCTTAATGATTTAATGAGGAAGATGACCAAAATGCCTGACGCACAATCTGCTGATAAAGAGGGTCTGTATGGTCCAAGACCTTTTGAAAGACAACAAAGGCATAAATTGATAAAGATTACCCCCTAAAGTCCTCAAGTACTTCTTTTCGGCTTACTATTCTTCTTCAAATTATATAACAAAAAGCAAAAATGGAGTCAAGAACCTCATGGTTGAATGATATAAAAACAAAATGGTTGTGAGTGACAGGAACATACAGAATCTAAAAGAGATAGATGATATTATTTTGTTATGAACTACAACTAGATTATTACAACACTTCTAAAAATATAACTGCTAACATAGTACATTAAGTTTTATAAACAAAAAATGCAAAATATAAATAGAATGTGAATTAATTTAACATCTAACCTAATTACAGATATTAATGCATTAGTCCCACTGAAGTGGTTTTAATTAATTAAAACTTGATAAAAAACAAATTCATTAAAGAAACTGTATTACAGAGATAAGAGTTGTCAATAATAAACTTTTAGACATGGTAGAGTTAATATACTGATGGCAACTCAATGACAAATGCAAAGAAGTATAAAGATGTCAAGAAGTTGGAAATAGAAATAACAGGCTACAGATAATTAATGAGGATGAAAATGCTGGACACTGAAAGAATGACTTACAGTTGATGCAACCTTCCAATGTCTCCAAGTAACGTGAGAATATCTTCACTAAGATGATTATCTTCCAAATGCCTTTAACAGAAAGCAGAGCATATTAAAAATTGGTTTCGTAAAAAGCTATCAGGCAATTCTATATGAATGCCCGTGTACCAACTAGTTAGGCCACCCAACGAATCAAAGAGCAAAATGCACAAGTGAATAATAAACTAACAATATTTCTAGCAGCTTTAATGGACTGAGATTGGGTATTACACGCAATAAACTGTTATTACCAAGGAAACTGTTGAGGGAATGAGACATTCAATTAGAATTTTGTTATCTCCAAATTTCATCACTTGAAATTCAGTTTAATTGCTTGCATGTTACTCAGTGCAGTTAAATTAGCAATGCTTGGTGACATTGATCAGGAAAGACCCATACTAGTTAGGTTCCTCAAAATGAACGAAATAAAGTTAAGCTCTTTTAGTAGCAGTAAATGATGCAAAGACAGCAACAAACTGCATCTTAACTAACTCAAGTAGCAATCACACAAATTCGTTCGCCCCTAGAGCATGTAACACCAGT